GCATTCTGGATTATAAAAAATTTTGCTAGCAACTTTGACTCTCATCAGTGAACTCTTAAGTAAAGATATTGAAACCACTTTAAAAAGTGCATTCAGTGTTACTTTAAATATAGAAACCATTTGTACTTGAGGGCCATACTATTTAAATTAATATTCCCAATAAGTAATTTTTTGACTACAGTTAACAATGTCCATGTGTTGATGATATTAACTTTATATAATAACTTGATTAATGAGATATAAAGGTTAGGTTTCTTATAGTCTTGTGTCAGCAAATAACTTTCTTCTCTGGTTTTAGTTACACTTTCTATCAAAATCCAAATTTTAGATGAGATTGTCCTCAACTTTTACTTAAAATGAAAAGAAGAGTTGGAATTAAAAATGCTTCTCTAGCATCTTCATTGGCTCAGTTTCAACAAGAAGCACTCTAGAACAGAGAATATTGTAGATAATCATCATTCTGGTTTTGTTGCTGACACACGTGGAGAAAGCATATTTTCAATTTCTAAAAATTTAAATATGCCACCAATAAGCAAGCCTGTTACCAACCAGATAATTGCTAACACAACTGTAACAATCAGAAGTGAATTGTCTCCTCCATCATCAACTTTAGTTAGATCATCAGAACAAACTGTAATGGACCAACACACTGTTTGGAATCAGTTGATCCTTTTTCATATGCGCTCACATGGCAGCTATACTCAAGCAAATGGCCACATCATGAATTTTATTACCAGCACAACTTCTACTTCTCACTATATTATATCTCCCTTACAGAGAAGTTATTTTGGAATGATGGAGACTTCTACTTTTCCAACTAGATATCCTGATTTATCAGTCAATGATGGTCCTTTTTCTGACTTGCAAACAGCGAGTGATTCATGGTGCCCCATGCCAATGATAGCTGATATATCTGCTGCCACTCTTTCAAGGTCAACTTTTTAATAACCTTTGTAGACAAACAGCACCATGATTACAAGTGATGTACCAATGCACTACCAGACTATGCAAAATAACAAAGATTAAAATTTATGTTGGCAAAATATCAGCAAAATGCATGCAACCATCTCCTTTGAACAATAAACTTACATGTTCACCTTATGGGCTAATTGTCCTTATTTTTGAAAGAGTTAGGAGTAAAATGATGCTGTCTTTCATGATAAGCTAAATATTATTGTTTAATATTTGGAAGTTTTGGTCATGAGGAACATTTAACAGACCTTCTTCTAAGTAAATTATATCTAATTAACTGTTTAGAGGTTGAGAAAGTAAAAGCAAATGAAGAAATTAAAGTTAAGTAATGTCTGATACAGTGCAGGATGAATCAAATGAAGGTCTAAATAGATACAAATCAAATCTAGAATAGAGACATAGGCTGTATTTAGCATTTTCTCAATTACATTACATTTTTCCTGTGATTTTAAAATTTGAGTCCTTGGATTTTAGTTGGTAGAAGTTGTCTTCGTTAAAAATACATCTCATACTTAAAAGTATAGCATACTCAAACCAGCTCAGTAATCATGATTACCTTGATGCCATCATTAGTAAATAGTAAAGATCACATATTCTTGTCATAGATTTCATCACTGTCAGCACATGGCAGAATTTTACAAGTGATATTTCAGATGTCTTTTTTTCTTCTACTGCCTTCAAAGCATTCAAGCTTATTTGTTCCCTTATTTATTCCTTTGTGAGTCCACCTTTAAATTTTCTAATTCATGTTTTCATCTTGCTTTATGTTCCATCAAAAGAGAGACTCAGTTCCTATTCTGGCATGGAATGTCTTTTAGATTTTGAGCACAGAACTTCAGCATGGCTAACAACTCTGTTGCAGATCTACCCTCTGTTTATCTTCCCAGTTCCATATCATTCTGTTCCACTATCTGTCTAGAGATAACTTCAGTCAAACTATTTTTAGTCATGCAAACTCCCACCTCACAATCTTGCCCTAACTCTTTCCAGAATTAAAAGGCCCCATCTTTGCCTTTATATCCCACTGCTTAAACCATCTCAGTACAGATGCAACTTCTTTTAGATGTTTCCTGCCTACTTTTCTTTGTCTACCTTGGATATCGGCACAGAGATTTAGCACAGTGCTTGATAGATAATATATTTTTAGTATTTATTAAAGGAGCAATGATTGAATTTTGACTTACACTAATTAAAATTAACTTTCTTTTTCCAAACAGCAAACTTGTCATGGTCTTCAAACTATTCCTTTTTGATTTTCACTCTTCAACACAAACTTTCTGTTTTCATAGTTATTGGGATAGATCGACAGCTATGGTTGCTGCTTGAGTCAGTCAATTGTGCTAGGCCTTGGAGACAAGGAGTCTTAATTATTTTTCCTTAATTCATAACCCAGAGGTCAAATTTGTTCTATTCCCATACTCTGGAATTGTTACTATGTCTTCATGCCCCCTCCCACATTAATGATTGTCATCTCCATATCAATACCTTTATTGTGTTTCAATTAATCCAAGCTGTGGTAACATCTCATATAATATGATCTTTAAGACCAAGAATCAAATGGGGCAACTTCCATCAGAGTCACAAGTCTGGCATTCAGTGATAACTTCTATGTGAAACACATAGAGTTTCTTGGTTTGTACACCAGAACTCTGATAGTGGCTATGCTGTTATATACAGTGACAATCTGGGGTTTCGTTAGGCTGCATTAGCAGCTAAACTCTATAGCTTTCTCATCAGACAGTTGGATTTGTGGCAGGCATCTTCAAAATTATCCAGATAGATTAGTTATCTGCCGATGTTTATTTTCATAATTAATGCCCCAAAGAGGAATGTCTTTGAATTGTCAGATGTAATTTTTCATGCTGAAACACCTACACTATTGACAACAGCTTAAGATAGGTTAGGGTTGCAAAAAAAAAAAAAAAAAAAATACCTTGGGATCTGCATTCTGCCCCTGAGTCTGCTCACTGATTCAAATAAACATGTCTGCCTTTGCATGTGTATAACAGCTGTTGACATCTAATAGCCAGCAGAAATGTAGACACTGTCAAGCATTTTTATTTTTTTATTGTTTTATTTAAAGTTTTAAATCTTGATTGAAATATAATAGACAACTAGTTGTTTGTTTTTACATTGTACAATTCAATGATTTTTTGCAATTATATTTGGCATACAATAAAATATCAGTTTCAGTTGTATAGAATAGTGATCAGAGATCCACATAACTTGCAAAGTGATCTCCCTACTAAATCTAGTACCCTCTTCCCCCTTGCATATTATTTATTACATTATTAACCATTTTCCCCATGCTACACTCTATATCTCCATGTCTATTCTCCAACTATCCATTTATACTCTTAATTCCTTTGTCCTTGTATGGTCTCCACTAACCTCGCCTCCAGTGTAGTATCCCTCTAAATATTTTCTGTATTTGTGTTTATTCTGCCTTTGTTGTTGTTATTGACTTTGTTCTTTAGATTCCACATGTATGTGAATTCAAGCGATTTTGTCTTCCTCTATTCGACCTGTTTCATTCAGCATAATACTCTTTAGGTCCATCAAGGCAATATCATTTTCTACCCCCTTCCTTTTATTCTGTGTGTCTTTTAATATGAAGTGAGTCTCTTGTAGGCAGCATAGGTAGGGATTTTGTTTTCTTATATATTTAGCCTTTCTATCTTTTGGTTAGAGCACTTAATTCTTTTTCATTTGAGGTAATTGTTCATAGAAATACATTTCTTACCATTCTTTATTCCTGTTTTTGATACATTGTTTCTTCTTTAAAAAGTCTTTTCAATATTTCCTGTAATATTGACGTGGTGTTGATAAATTCCTTTAGCTTATTTTTGTCTAGGAAGCTCTTTATCTGTTCTTTGACTCTAAATGACAGCTTTACTGGACAAAGAATTCTTGGTTGTAGACTCTGGGTTTTTATCAGGTCAAATATTTTGTGCCAAGCCTTTCTGTCCTGCATAGTTTCTTTTGAGAATTCAACTACCAGTCTTATCGGTGCTCCCTTATAGGTAACTAACTTCTTTTTTCTTGCTGCTTTTAAGATTCTCTCTTTGAATTTAACCATTGGCATTTTAATTAGGATGTGTCTTGTTGTGAGCCTCTTAGAGTTGCTGATTTTGGGGACTCTCTGAGCTTCCTGTAGTTTTATGCCTATCTCCTTCACCAGTGGAAGGAAGTTTTCCATGATTATTTTTTCAAATAGCTCTTCAACATTTGTTTTCCTCCTGGTGCCCCTATGACATGGATACTTTTACTTTTACTAGTGTCCCATAGGCACCTTAATTTATTATTATAGTCTTGGCTTCTTTTCTTCTTGCCATATTGATACAATGTTCTTGGCTTTCTCATGCTCTATGTAGGTAATTTGATCCTCTTCTTTATTCACTTTGTCTATTACATTGAATATACTTCTCATCTCAGATAATGTGTTCATTTCTAACTGTTCCCCTTTTATAATTTCCATTTCCATTTTTATGTTTTTTATCTCTTTGTCGACATTCTCACTGAATTCATCTTCATAAGTTCATTGAGCATTTTTATAACCAGTGTATGGAACTCAGCATCTGTTAGATTGTTTGACTACATTATTTCTGGATCCTTGTTCTATTCTCTCATATGATTTCTGCTTCTTTGTCTTCACATTTTGGCTGCCTTTCCATGTCTGTTTATATGTACTAAGCAAAGCTCCTCAGTCTCCCATCTTAGTGTTGGATTTGTGTAGTAGGTGTCCAGTTCTGAGAGGGATTCAGCTGTATACCAAATTTAACCACGAATTTGCCCCTTGAGGTCCACCTGTTAAGATTCTGCAAGCAATCCACAGATGCTAAGCTTATAGTTGCCTCATAAGGCCACACCAAAAACTGAGGCCAGCTGCCAACAGTGTGAGTCTAGGTGCTGCTAAGCAAGGAGCACCTAACTCACCAAGGATACACCTGAATGTGGCTTTTGTAGGGCTACGAGTTGTGAGAGGCAGAGTTTCTATTATGTAGTTTGATGATGTCTCTGCTATGGTGGTGCTGAGACATGCACTGGGAACGGGAGGGCTCAACAGATGAACGATGGTTACCACCAGCACTTCTATACAGAGTTAGTCTCACCTCAGTCTTCACTCTGACAACTCGTTTTACCCCTATAAGTCCCTCGTGCCCTCCACACAGCTGATCTGAAGCTGGTGCTCAGATGGAGCAGGTCTATCACATGAAAATTCGCTCGCCGTCATGGCCCTTTTAAGAGGCATCTGCAGCTGCCGGCTGCTGCTGCCACTGACACAGTCTCTGTCCAACTCAGCTGCTCTGGACCGGGCAGCCTCATGTCCTCACCTTATCCTAACTTCTGCCATTTCAGGGTGATTTCTTAGATTGCTTCCTAGTTGTACGGCATGTTCATCTAGATCCAAGATGAGTTTTCCTTGCTGTTTGCTCTTCGTTTCTGTCACAACTTTGATTTGATTGCCAGAGGGATGAACAGAGCCTCTATCACATATGACATTCATTTTTGACACCGTCAAACTTTGAATTAGCTAAGCCATCAAGTGAATTAAACATATGCAGCTGGAAAAATATTTATAAATTAAGGGTATCATTAGCTACCAGCTTTGTTTGGGGGCAGGGACTGAACAATAAGGTTTCTCCTAGTGGAGTAGTTGTCACCTCTTCAGGCAAAACTGAGTTGATGTTGGAGTCCAGCAATTAAGGCCTTGAATTTAACCAGAGATAGATATATTCTCCAGCCTCCAGATTCCAGCAAACTACTAGGTCTTCTTTTGGGGTGAACTTTTGTATCTCCATATTTTCAAAGTTGATATCACTTATTTTAGCTCTGGGTACCCCATAACTATCAAAGCCATATTCCTATCATTTGGAAGTTCTTATAACATCTTTCTTCCTGAAACCTGGAGAGGAGTGAATAACAACCAATGCATCATTTGGGAAGAAACATTCAGTTTTAATTGTGTGGATCCTTACTTTCTCTTGTTCAGCACTTAGAGTAGAAAATGTGCTATAAGTTTGCAGAAAATATTCTCCTTTTTTCTAACCTAATCATGTGGACCCACATCCATTTTGTTACACAAACTATGCCTTTGTTTGTTTAGCTTGAGATTTTACCATGCTTGAAATCTAGTAACCTTCATGTTACTCTTTCACACATGCTGGCAAAGACACGAGTCTCTGGATCAGAGACAAAAAGTTTTATCACTCATAGAAAAAGCAGTAGCCATAGTTTATGTTTGCCCTAATCTTAACTGGGTAACATAGAATCATTCTTTGGTGTCTTTACATGCAGTGGTATGTTTCAGGGGAGAATTCTAAAGACAGAGCAAACTTGATTCTATAAGTAAGGAAAGGCAAGCCTACTCTTCCTTCTGGAAAAGATATAACATTCCTCAAGGTTAATTGCCACCAAACCAAACCAAACCAAACCTTAAGAGATATCCTGAAATAAGTATAGTCAGGACCTTATCTTTCTTGTCACGCAGAAGAACATGTGGAGATAATCAGAATGAGCAACTTCCCTCAACAGATGGGACTTCTGCTCCTGAGTGACATAAAATTAACAAACACCTGCTAAAAAAAAGTCCCTATAAATCTGCCTCAGGAATGGAAAAGTCAATTCTGAAAGCTAAGGGGAAAACAAAAAATACCACTCAGTTTTTCTTTTTTTGTTTTCTCTCATAACCCAGCTTTGAAACAATCTCAAGGTGATGGTAAGCTAACTTTATTTCCTGATAAAATAAAATTATGAATTAGGGAAATTTCCTCAGTGTTTAGAAGAACTGTGATGCCCCAAAGGTGAAGTGAACAACCAGTATTTTTGTTTCTATCTCCTTTACCTGAATGTGGGTGCAATTATGACAATTGCATAGCAGTGCTGGGTAACTAGAACTCCACCTTTCTGACTGAGAAAAGCACTCAGAATCTATGAAATGACAGCGTGGTTATAGACAGAATGACATTAGGGAAAGCAAACCTATAAGGCTGTATAATAAGTGGCCTGATCCCAGTGATGGCTATAAATACCAAATCACTGAGAATTTAACAGACTAGTATTCAATTCTAAAGTGACCACTGTATGGCACATTCAGAAAACAGATCTGAATACCACAGCAATGCTTTGACATCTAAAATGACCCTGAAACTACAGGACCATGATGGGACAGGTGCCTAAACCTATCTAGATGAGTTTTATGTTCAGATAAAGATATCAGCATCCTGTAAAGACTCCTTAAGGCCCAGACTGTTATTCATCAAAATCCTAAGATAAGAGCCAAAATTATCTTAGACGGAATCAGGAAAATCTCATTGTGTGGAAAATAAAATATAATAGGTATGAAATGGAGAGAAAATGGACAGATTTAAATATCTGCCAAAGGCGTTAGAGCAGCTTTTATCCAAATGCTTCAACAAGTAATCATGAAAATTCTTGGAACAATTAGAGAGATTAAAAGTCTTGTCAAAGAAGCATAAGGTATAAATACATCTGCAAATTTTAGAACTGACAAAGACCATAAAGAAGAACCAATCAGAGAGATATTTAACATAAGGGTACTGAAAAATTTTAGAAGAAATAAGGATTGAATAAGATATCAGTTTGGCAAAAGGTATATACACAGAAAAAAGGACAAGAAAAAAGATAAAACTAGTGAAATCTGCCTCCAAATATATTATGATCAAATTGCTGAAAACTAAATTAGCAACCAAAAATATTCATTAGCCAGAGAAAAATGGTTCCTTATCTAGGAGAATCATGACTGAATTGACTGTAAATTTAGCCTTGTGTTAGTAGAGGAGTAGTCCAAGAAAGTAAGAGCAAAATTTCCCAACCCAAAACAGTACCTTCTCAGAGATCAGGAGGAATTCAGTTTCTGGTGGAGACTTTTTTTGAAACATTGGCTTATTTGATTCTGACTCTCGCCTTATAACACTCAAATATAAGCTGTGTGGAAACATGGCACTAGAGAAAATAGATTTGTTAGGAACTAGAGAGCAGTTAAACAGTAGCAGAAGGCATTCATCTGGTGGCCCCAAACCAATATACACTGTCGACCACCTTGTCTGGGGATGTTTGTTATTTTCTGGTTTCGGATTTGAAGAATGCATTTTTCAGTGTATCCTGGAGTGCTGAATTTCAAGAATGATTTGCTTTTGTATGACAAGATTCTGATTCTAAGGGTTAAATGGGAGTGTTATAAGGTGAGAGTCAGAATCAAATAAGTTAGAGTTTCAAAAAAGTCTCCACCAGAAGCTGAATTCCTCCTTTTGCCTGATCTCTGAGAGGGTACTGTTTTGAGTTAAGAAATTTTGCTCTTACTGACCCAAGCCAGAGAAATCTGCTTTGTGATAGATAAGAAGCCTTGGCAAGATTGGCAGTGTGAATAACTCATAGACAACTGAAAGGATTTATAAAACTTGCTGTTATGTAGGGGTAGATGTGAACAGAAACCATCTCCTTCTCTGTGTCCTTCCACACTGTGACCTTTGACCGATGTCACTGCTCTTAGTAAGCATATTAGAGCCTTCTAGTTAATGATGATCTGAGTTCTTTAAAATGTAATCATAAATGCTTTTGTCAATAATGGCCAGAATGACAAGCAAGATGAACACCAGACTGATGACAGTATCAATCACCAGGAAGTATGGCTCTTGACACTACTGTGTTCCAGTCCATCTATAATACCTGAGTTATATTTCATAAGCTGTACAGTAGCAAGAATCTTTAGGGCAGAATAACATGTACAAACTAGTGGACTGTCTGTTCACTGCAGCCCAATCTTTAGGTAAGTAAATTACCCACAACAACTGAAAAATAATATTGACTAGGTATTTTGCCACCAAAAATATTTATTGGAGAAAAAGAAAGGATTGCAACCCAGAGCATGCAGACATGGCAAGCCACTTGCACACTCTGGACTGTGTGCCAAGATGGCAGGGTGCGTAGAGAAGGGAAAGGAAGGTGATAGAAGAGGGAGTTAGAACCATAGAGTTTTACTATAACATGGAGTTGTTCCTTCAGGATCTTCTCATGTAGGCTTCTCAAGATTCTGTAGCCTGTGAGGACTTCCATAAACCTTAGCTCCACCCATAGACCCCTTTGACTATTCTGTTTGCTTAAAGTTCCAGTTAGTCTTTATCCTTCCTCATTTTGATAGTTATCTTTCTCTGAAAGCATGTCCAAATGTTCCCGTATTCCAGTTCCAGCCACTTCTTGTTTCCTGAAGTCAGGAAGGATCTCTTCTTAGTGTCCTCTAACACATCAGAGAGAAGGTGCAAACATGGGAACAGCTTGTGTCCAGGGTAAACAGGCAACAGGCACAAAGCTAATAAGAAGAATTTAGAATGGAATTAGAACAACACAACAATCTTGTGTATATGATGAATTTGAGCCAGAAGCTCAAATCTATAGATAATGAAACAAAGACCATTATTATCTTGCAGTTCTTGATGACAGATTCATACTAAGAAGAGCACCCACTGCTTTCACAGTAGATTAGAAAATGTAATGAGGGCACATTCTTTCCACGTAAAAGAGAAAAATGAAATAAGAATTAATGGTAAATGAAAAAAAGTTGTACAGCCCTGATCTGGTCATTTGGGGAAAGCGGTCTCCTTCCATGGTCACTTGCTTTAATTTTTTTTTTTTTTAGCTTTAGTTTTTGATCATCAGGTTGTGTGAAGTTGCTGTCAGGTTTTGGTACCTTCTTTAGGAATGACTAAGGATCTGGTCGCTGGAGCTTAGCAGCACAGGGTTGAGTCAACAGTATCTGTAAGAGCCCTTCCAGTGAGGTTGGTGGAAATACTTTTTCAAGATGTCTTTTCTAGTAAATCAAATCTCCAGATGGTAGATTTGGATTTTCAGCTTTTTATTTCCCTGGATTGCACTGTGAAGAGATTGTTCTACTATAACATGATGTTATTCAGTAGAGCTATTAAGACCTTACAATATTGAAGTATGGCTCCCTTAATCAACTGTGACTTCACAGAAGCAGGAGCCAAATGCATACGGTGTTCTGTAAGTATCTTGAAAAGTGAAAGCTAATGAGTTCCAAATGGTATCAATCTGAGGTTCACAATGCTTTTGGACAAGATATGTGAAGAGTATCTACAAATTTTGCCTGTTGACTCTTATTGATGCCATTAGTGGTTCAACAAAATGTGGAGATTGAGGGTGGTGGGCACAGTGAAAATGATGTAGAACTGGTCAAATAGCACAGGTTTGTTGTAGCACCTGACCAGTAGAATAGTTTTCTCTGTCACTGTAGAGTTAACAGGAATTCCCCAATCTTCTGTGAGAAGGCTTCGGTCAGTAAGAGAAAATAGATTTCTCAGTAAATGAGAAAATATATAGAACATGAATAAAATATTTATATCCATGACACAGGGTTAGGTTGTGGGGGACACTGTATGAAATTTCTTTACCAAACCTCAAATGATCCACTAGGCAATCTAAAATATTCAGGAGCAGTGTCAATAGGGTTCTTGGATTATCCTTGGGAAAAGTTGAACTAGTGAGGCAGGCACTTTTGCAGTTTTGTTAATATCTCCTCCCACCAATATAGGTTCATAGATTCTTCCATTTTGTCAGTGGCTGAAAGGATTAATGCATATACAGTGTAAGGAATGGGAATCTCAGAATTTCTCATAAGATCAGTTTGCTATTTGGCCCAAACAACAGTTGCCTACTTTTATTGAACCAACAGTTACTACATTTCCATATTGGTTTTCCTTTTCTGGGGTCAATAGTTGGGCATTTAATTTTCACTCAAAACAGCCTGGTTCCAAAAAGAATTGGGCCAAAGTCTAGCACAGTTCCAAAAATACTCGCCCAATTTCAAGTTAGGTGAAAGTATCAACCTAGTACTTGCAAGCAATAAGCCCTTTAATCAGAAAAGCAGGGAGCCTTAAAATAGATCTTCATAGATTCTAGAGAGTTTCAAACACAAAAGAGCAGAAGCTCTGATCCAGGAGAAAGACCAACCCTCAAACTCCAGGATTAGTGAAGAATGGCCAGCTCAAAGGACTCCGTGTGTATTACACCTGCATGCTCAAGTATCTCATAGATGTCCAGGGTCTCCTCTGGATACCCATGTGTGCCGACAAATAATATTCACCTTAAAAATAAAACAGCTGTGACAAGGCTATGTCATTTTCTTTCAAGGTATGTGTTTGGGTGGTAGGTTTCTTGGCAGTTCAACATGTGTTTAAAGAAGTATTATTTCTGTTCGAGGCCCAAATACTGTGGCCACTGCAGTGTGTTCAGATTCCATGAAATAAAGTGCATAAAAACTGTAAAACAAAGCACAATTCTTTCAAGATCAGGTGCACTAAAGGATTTAGAAAAGCCACTGGTGAAGAGCCTACAGTGGATAATTTATTTGTGTTTGAAAAACATGGCAATGAACCTGTCAAATACCAACAAGAGCTATGGTGGGGTGGCAGGGGATTGTTGATGCAATGAAGAGAATCAAAGAGATCAAACAGATGCCAAGTTAAATTTATAATAAGAAGTTGAAGAAAAATGAAGACCTACAGAAAATCTAAGACATGAAAGATGTGAAGAACAACATTCCTGTCATCGGGCCCCTTTTGCATTCAAAGGAAAAAAGCTGGGCAAGATAATGGTATGGATGTGGACATCGAAGTTGTTTCTGAAAATCTTATTGTCTGTAACTGTCTACGAGTACATTGGAAAATCTCATTTAGTGACATAACATCTAAATTACTGATTTTTTACATAAGGTGACTCAAATGAAAGTGATTAAAAACATCTCTTCTACATTGCTATAAGCAAAACATCAGATATTATGCTAGACTACATCTCTAGCTTTCACTGATGGATGTACATATATAAATTATGTTAATTCTACAAATACAGAAGTGAATTGTGGACATAAAAGGATCAACCCACCAATAATGACAAGAGGCAGCATTTATCTAATAACTAAGGATAAAAAGTCATGGCTAAGGATATGTAAAATAAAATTCTTTGCAGTAAAAAATAAAACAATTGTTTTACCAGCAAAATGTGGGTTTACTCAAGAACAGCAGACACTTACAATTTGAAAAAAGCAGGCCATATCAAAAGTCATAGGCAAGTTCCACAGATGAAGGAGAGGAATGTTATTTTGCAGAGGAAATGGAGGATGTCGGGAGGGGTCGTTTTGAATGCAAGTCCATTGGAGGAATGAATGAGATCAGCATGGTTCACAGTGAGTTCAGGTTTCTCGGTGGCTGGGTTGCTGGGCGTCAGTTTCTTGTAGGAGACACACTGTCGGTCTTTCATGTTGGGGGCCTATCATTAGTCTTTGTTTCCCTCAGAGGAGTCTTCTGTGGGGTGTATAACTGACATCGAGTGGTACCATGTGAGAGCGCCCCGTCCTGGCCCCCAAATTCACTTGAATGAGGTTTTCCCTTATTCAATTTCACAGTAATTATAAAACAGCTACAGTTAGTCAACACGTGAAAATCATGTTCTACTTCTGTGCTCGAAACTAGTAAGGGCCAGAAATACTCTTCTTGTTTTCTCTTGTGAAAGCCAGTAGGTGTTAAGCTGACCCCTTGTCTTTGTATTGGATGCCTTATTTTTATGCAATTGAACAATTGAATTGTTTTCAGGTTTTCGTTTTTGTTTAGTTTTAAGTACATCTTCTTACTTCTGAAGCCTTTTTAGACCCACCTGTCTTAAACATATCTATTATTTATAATGCCACTTCATTTACATTTAAAATCCCCCCAGGGGGGTTTTCTAATACACATTATTTTACTCGTTGTGTTTGAACCTTTGACACATATGGACTTCATTGTGTCAACAGAATTTGCTGAGTGACCCAGTCTTCCCCAGAAAGGAATGTGGTATGCACCACACACTAACAGGTTATAAATTTGTTGCTGGATATCATAAGGAAGGACAAAAATGGGCTTAGGATAAAATTCGGGATCCTGACTGAGGGCCAGTGGAACAAAGAATCTGTGAGGCCAGGATGGCCACGTCCACCCTAAATATCTGCCGCGAGCTCGAGGCTCCAAAGCTCCACCTGGGTGTGGGCGCCAGAATCTGCCTGGTGTATCCTTCACCAAGGCATGTTCAAGGTCAAGAAACTACACACGCGAGGCCATTGGAGGTCGCGGAAGGCTTCATGACGCACAATCACGGGACCCAGAGCAGCCAATCCCAAGTGCTGGGGCGGGGCCTTCCGCAGCGGCTGTGGAGACCCGCTTGCCGGCCACACCCTCAGCCCAGGACTGGGTACTGCCGGTGACCGACAGGTAGGCCCTGCCCCGTATCCCGCCCCTTTTGCCTCTACAGACCTGCAATTGGCGGGTAGGACCTTGGGATCGCAGCACGGATTGGCTGTTGGCGATGACGTGACTATACAATTGGGTACATCGCTTCAGACTGCTGAGAGAGACAAGGACGCTGGAGCTTGGCCACCGCGCCTGTCCGGCGTCCACTTACATCATCCACAGATGAGCGGGGAGATTGACAGGAAAATGACCGTGTGGGGTGCTTTGCCATGAGAAACTCTCGTAAACCCTTTGCCCAAGATCTTCAAATTCCAGCCTGAGGGAGCCTAATGCCTCTCACCCTGAGAGGCTCTAAATCTCTTCAGTCTTGAGGGACACCAAATCCTGTCTCCTTGAGGGAGCTCAAATCCTCTAACCTGGGAGGACCTCAAATCTCATCGTCCTGTTTAGACTCCCACAAATACCTAGGGATTTGTGGTTTTCAGAAACCACAATTCTCCTCAGCCTCAGGCATTCCCAAACCCCTCATCTTGGGAAACCCTAAATATAGCACCCATCAGAAGACTGAATTTCCCAGTGTCAGACGTCCTAAATATCCTCTTTCTGGAAATTTAGTCCCTTCTGCTTCAAAGGCTCCCACTTAGTAACTCAGTGTCCAAGAACCTAGAGCCTCTTAATGAGAGCCCTCACTCTTCCTCAGCCTGGAAAATCCCAAACTCTCAACCTAAACATTCTCAATGGCTTCTTCCTATAGATCCCAAATCTTGTCCCAAGAGACTACAAATACCACCAGCATGAAGGACTCGAAGTCATGTCAGACTCAGAGACCCTTGCCCTGTAAAGACTGAGCCTGCTTTAATGTTTTGTGCCCAGAGTTTTCCAGCATCCTCATGTGAATGCCTGCTACCTTCTGTGAGAAATATGCATTTCCAATCTCTGCAAGGGCATCCGGATGGTCAGCCTGACCCCATTCCCAGCAGCAGGAGCCTCTAAGTCTCCTTGAGCCTTCTGTGTCCCCGCACCTCAGGGCTCTACCCAACTACCCATGGCCACATCCCTCCACATGCCTTTGCCCCCTTTCCTGAGCGGGGGTGAGCTACAGGGGAGCTCAAGAAACACAACCCAGCTTTTGTCCAGCTGGCCTGTCATTCCCATCTGCAGACTTTCCCCCACATCTGTAGATCCTTGTAGAGTCACCACATGTCCCTCTTCTGAACATCTTCCCAAATGTAGAAGACAGACCAGGCTCTGGGTAGTTTCTGCAGTGTCGACCCCTCTCAGAACCTTCTCCTTCCTCAAGCATCTTGGCCTCGGGGCTGAGAGACAGGGGACCTTTGCTGTCCTGGCCACATGAATCCTGGCTGGTCCTTGTGAAAAACAAAAGTCAGTTAAGACATAAGCCCCAGGTAAGAGTTGAGGGAATTTAGCCAGCCTGTAAGTGGATTCTGACGGTGCAAGGGGCCTGCTGACTAGGAACTGGTTGCCAGAGGACTGGAGACTCCTAGCCTGCACTGGTGGGTGACTCTCTTTGTGTATGTACACAGAATGGGAAACTTAGTCCTGTCTGGGCTTTGGGGGTAGAACAGGACACTAGCAATAGCACCTGTCTCAGGGGAGACCTAGGAAAATGCTCAATGTTTGCTCATGTATCAAGAGTGTATCAGGAGGGAGAGAAGATCTTCATCTTTGTTTCATAGAGATCACCCAGAGGTTTCATTTGATACCTTGCACACAGGTGGAGGAGAAGATCCAGCTCAAAGTTCTGACTTGTGTTAGGGAGTTATTGATGGAGACTGTTATTTTCGGTAGGCCAAAGATCTTTTCAAAGACATTTCCATATACTTCTCCAAGAAGAATAGACAGACATGGCAGACTGAAAGAAAATCTATTACAGGAATGTTAAAAGGAGCTATGATGCACTACAAGCTACAAGTAACAGGAGGTACTGGGTGCTGATGAGCCTGGGAAACATGAAACACCTTTATAGTTTGGCTCCTTCTTAGGTAGTTCCATCTGCCTACAGTTTCCTTCTGTGTGGAGACAATCTGGAGGGTAATTTTGGTCTTTTGTGTCAGCGCAGGGCTGGCGCTAACAATGCAGAGCTCTCCCAGACCATCAGAGTGAGTTGGCCTGGCTTTGTGGTGCTTTGTTTCTCCTTCAAGCTTTTCCTTTTCAATATTCTGATTTTGTTTCTTTCCATATCTCAGAGCCCCTTGACCAGCCTTCCTGTGTCACCACAGGCAGGGCATCAAACCCCAGGTGGATGACACTGACAATTCTGACAAAGAATGTACTCCAAGGCAGCAAGGAGAGGGGCCAGGAGGACTTAGAGGTGCCGTCCTGAAACTTAGATGAGTTTAAGTCTGAGTTGCATCTCAGCAGTTAACAAGGAAACACTGTTTGCTTGTTTAGCAATCAAGCAAGATGCAAAACAGTATGTTATACACTAAGGAGCTATTCCTATAACATTTTTCAATGTTTAAAATAATTATATATGTATATTACAAATACATATATTCACACACATTAGTAAGCAGTAAGTGTATAAAAATCTGAGAGTGAATGAGAACAAATTCAGAATAGTTATCAGTAGAGATGGAGGGAGATCTGGCAGATGACTTGGTTGCATCTTGGTTAGGCTTTTCTTTGTTTGTTTTTGAATTTTGAAATAGAAATAAAAAGATCCAAAGCCACTGTGGCAGATGTTGAGATCAGACTGCATGGTGCTGGATGTATAGGTTTTCCAGTAAAATTCTCCATTCTTTTCTATTTGTGTAAAATTCATCATTTTTAATGGAAGATTAGTTTTTGATAAACATGGTGAATTAAATGGCAAGTAAAGAAAGCTTTCTAACACTAATCTCATAGTAGTTGTTATTAGAATAAATGTCTTAGGAGAAGAAATAATGAAAATATTATGTAAAGATACGTAATTTATTTGTGCATATTTTATCACACCTCATGATCTTATTACCCCTGAATAAATCTGATTCTTTGTGTTGATTCTGGGAGGGGTTTTCAGACAGCTGTTGGGTCTCCTTGGTGTGTCCCACATGTCACAGACAGAGGACAGCACCACATATATAATCTGAGAGCAGTCATAAAATAGAAGTGAGAAGCTCACTTTCTCTTCTGCTCTCAGGAGAGTTTAGAAGAAAGTCAATCTGCCTAAACTGGAGAGAGCAACTTGGACTAGGTCTGTGATGTCCCCATCCATGGATTTATGATTCCTCATAATTCCACAAAAACTAGTGTAAGAGATCTGAAAACACAGAGTGTGGTTGTCCACAAAGTTTTCAACATGAATAGAGTGTTTATTGTACATGTACACATCTTATCTGAACTCAGTTAAAACCTACAACCCATATATTTATTAATTCATTCTTATGTTTAAAAAAGATATCATAAACTTATCCTCTTCTAATCTTTAAGTATACAGTACAGTATTGTTAACTATATGCCCATTGTGGTACAATAGACCCCTAGAACTTTGTCATTTTGCATGACTGAAACTCTAACTATTGAGCAATGACTCTCCATTTTCTCTTTCTTCCAGCCCCTGGCAAATGTCATTCTACTCTGTTTCCATAAATTTCATTCCTTAAGTACTTTCCATAAGTGAAGTCCTGCAGTATTTGTCTTTTTGGTGATTAGTTTATTTTGCTTAGCTTAAGGTCTTCAAGGTTCATCCATGTTGTAGCATAAGACAGGATTTCCTTCTCTGTTAAGGCTGAATACTATTCCATTATATGCATACACCACATTTTCAATCTTAATTTATCCAACAGTGGACATTTAGGTTGTTTTTACATCTTGGCTGATGTGAATAATGCTGCAGTGACTACGAGTGTGCAAACATTTATTCAAGATTCTGTTTTAAATTATTTTTGGATATATTGCCCAAATTTATCTAGCTGGATCATTTGGTATTTCTATTTATAATATTTTGAGGAACGTTTATAGCATTTTCTGTAGTGGTTGAACAATTTTACATTTCTACCAAGAGTGTGTAAGGGTTCCAGTTTCTCCACATTCAAGCCAATGCTTGTTATTGTCTGTCTATCTGTCTGTCTGTCTGTCTGTCTGTCTGGTTGGTTGGTTGGTTTTGTGGCCATCCTAGTGGGTAACAGATGATATCTCATTATGGCTCTACCTTGCATTTCTCTCATAATTGATTAGTGGTACTGATCATCTTTTCATATACTTCTTGGCCATTAGTATATCTTCATTGGAGAAATATCTATTCAAATCCTTTCCCTTCTGTATTAGCTCAGGCTGCCATAACAAAGTGCCACAGACTGAGCGTCTTAACCCCCTGATTTGTATTCTCACAGTTCTAGAGCTTGCAAGTCTAAGATCAGGGTATCATCTGGTTAAATTCTTGTCCTGGCTTATGGGCAGTCTCCATTTCGCTGTGAGCTCACACAGCCTTTTTGTCCGTGCATGTTTCTGGAGAGAAATAAAGAGAGACATCTCTCTCTTAATAAGGGCACTAACATCATCACGAAAGCCCCATTTTTATAAACTCATCTAACCCTAATTACCTGCCAAAGGACTCATCTCTACATATGTTCACATTGGAAGTAGGAGAGTTATTGTATTAATTGGAAAAACATAATTTGGTCAACAGCACCAAGTTTTTAATCAGATAATTTGTCTTTTTATCACTGAGTTGTCGCAGTTTTTTATATTTTCTGGATATTGACCTCTTACCAAACATATGTTTTACAAATATTTTCTTTAATTCCGTAGGTTGCCATTCATTCTGTTGCTTTTTCCTTTGCTACACAGAAGTTTGTAAGTTTCACGTAATTCCATGTCTATTTTTGCTTTTGATTTTTATGCTTTTGGTGTCATATCCAAGAAAGTATTTTCTGTTTGAAGCTTTTCCCCTTGTTTTCCTCTAATAGTTTTATAGTTTCAAGGCTTACAGGTTTTTAGTCCATTTTGAATTGACTTTTGTATGTGCTGTAAGATAAGGGATTCATCTTCATTCTTTTGCATTGGATATTCTGTTTCCCCAGCACCTCTTGTTGAAGATATTATCCTTTCCCAATTTATAGTCTTTGCACCCTTGGTGAAGATCGTTTGACCACATGCTCTAGAAGATTTTTCTATTCTATGTCTGTATGAGTGCATTTTAAGAAAAGGAAGCATCTCCCATCCTCGAAGGTCTGCAGGGTTGATTATTGAGACACAACAGATGATTAAAGACTTAAGGACTTCACATTAGTCATGTACTAGGAACCCATGTCTCTGGAACTGATTACAAG